AGTGCAAGAAGTCGGCAACGTTGTGGCGGAAGAGCTGGCGGCAGGGGTGCAGGTACTGGAAGAAGAGGAGCATGAAGTAGATGCCCAGGCAGTAGCCCAGGAGCAGCTGCACCACCAGCAGCGGGGTGCAGATGTTCTCGTAGACATCTGTCTTAAAGAAGTACCAGAGGACGACCAGGGCCGTGTTCTCCGCCAGCCGGGCCACGTAGTAGATGGCCAGGCGGCCCCAGTTCTGCGACTTGTCGATGAGGGCCCGGGCGGCCAGGCTGGGGGCGCCCGCGGGATGAGGTCCCGGTCGTCCAGCTTGAGCTGCACGGCCGACCAGCAGAACATGTTGATGCCGGCATAGAGGAGGGTGAAGGCGCAGAGCACCACCACCGTGCCCACCCGGCTGAAGTTCTTCTCGATGTTGTCGGGCAGGCGGGTGCCGCTCCGCCAGAACTGCACCCAGGGCAAGAAGAAGACCACCAGCAGGTTGGCCAGGGCGATGGGGATGATCCAGTGCTTGAAGACGGTGCTGAAGAGCACGAGGACGGTCACACGGGTGGAGATCTCCAGGCTGCGCCACAGCACGATACAGAGGAAGGCCAGCGGCCGCAGCTGGACCTTGTAGTCATCGTACTTGACCTGGATGGCCAGGACGTTGCAGACGAGCGCGCCGTAGGTGACCGACACCAGGCAGATGCCCATGAGGATGGCTGCAGAGGGAAAGGGCAGGGGAATCGGGCAGTGCCAGGGACCGGCTTGTGTGCCGGGCCGCTCTGCTGCCCTGGGTGCGAAGCCTGGGGTGCCAGCCCTGGGTGCAGAGCATGGGGTGCCGGCTCTGGGTGCAGAGCGTGGGGTGCCAGCCCCATGTGCAAAGTGCAGGGTGCCAGGCACCGTGGCTCGCAGCAGGAGGCTCAGTGCGAGCGCTGCTGGGACAGCTGGTGGCTGGTGGTGACAGACCCCAGGACGGGGTGGCTGTGGGGGGTCCTGCAGGCAGCAGGAGGCTCTGCTCCCGGATTTTCTCCCTACACCAATAAACCAAGAGCCTTTGTCGAACCGGGGCCGATTCTGTGCTTGACCCAGGCGCCCACCCCCCTGCTCTGTGCAGGAAATGCTGCTCACAGGGGAGTGGGGCACCATCTGTGCTGTGAGCATCCCTCTGTCCTCACCTGGGCCAAGAGCCGCACCACCGCAGCCCTCCATTCACCTGGGAGGACATCAAGACCCACCCTCCGCCGGGGGCTGCCAAGCCAAGGTCATTCCCAGGGAACGCCG